AATCAAAAGCATTCTTCTAGAGATTCTTTAAATCCCGGAAAATTTAGGACCCCTAATCAATTCGCAAGAAAAATGAATTTAATAAGAATCATGAAAATTAGATCTCATATCAATGAAAAGCTTGAATATTATCTACGATATTAATCAAAATGAAAAATGAATCATTATTAATATCAATCGAAGATATTCGATTCATAACGACGGATTAGATAGCAAAAGGTCAAGATCAGATAATTCATTATATTATATAATTCTATTCAACGCTGAATAGAGAGATCGAAAGAATATCAAATATAATCTAGATATATATGATCATCAAATATAAAGATAGATAGATCATAAATCATCATAGAGAGAGAAATTATCAAATTCAAGAGATCAAGATATCGATATTTTGAAAGATCGATATATCAATAAATTCTCTCTTGATAATATGAGAGTAAAATAATGATCGATCATCTAATATATCTAATGATAGGTCGATAAATTTTTATCGATTATATATCTTCTAGATCTCTATAGCTCGTGACTACGAATCAATATATGGAGAAGATGATAGAATGATATCTTGATTATTTGCAGATCTAAGAATTTTGAAGAAAAAAAAAGAGAGATGATGATTTCTATTCATCGACCGAAGATAATTCAGAAATGAAAAAGAATCTATGAATTTATATTGATTATCTTCCTAAAATCAAAAAGATTTCAATCCCTAATCATTCCGAAAGATCCCCAAAGGAGCAATTACCTCAGCAGCAGACCCCAATAGCGATGGAAGAGCGCCAGAATTTTTTTTTCCGTCCTTAGCTACGCCTTACGAGCCCTTCATGAGAGGTTTCTTATTTAGATTATTGGAAAGGAGCTTAGAATAATAATGGCAAATGATTTCATCGTCATTATATCTTTTTTTATATCCGCCGCGTCCGCCAAAGATATATTCATGGATTGTTGTGTTCGTGCTCCGTGCGTCCTTCGCCGTAGGCAAAACAGGGATAGGTGCTTAAGCAAGGGCTAAATCATATTAAGTCGTGCATCAGGGACGCATAGAAGAGGGAGGACTTTAAATAGGGACTAAATTATATTAGATCGCGATCAGGGAATCAGGGGCGGGGGCTTAAACCAGGGCTAAATCATGCTCAATCGCGTATCAGGGACGCATAGACGAGGCGGATATTTAAGTAGGGGCTAAATTATATTGGGGGTAGGTGTTTAAGCCAGGGCTAGGTCATGCTAAGTCGCATATCAGGGATGCATAGAAGAGGAGGATATTTAAGAAGGGGATAATTTGGAGGCTAAATTATAGAAAATCGCGTATCAAAGAAGCTATTATATAAGGATAAGCGAGATCCCGACCTCATCTAAAAATATATTCATGGTTCGTTGCATTCGTGCTATATGCGTCCTTCGCCGTAGGCAAAGCGGGGGGGGATTTTAAGTAAGGCCCTGGAATTCGATTGATTCTCCTCCTTGAGAGTTC